CTGTTTTGTTGTCTTCCTCAATCTTGAGACGAATCACAAGATCTTCCAACTTCATTTCTTTGCGCTTGTGCTTAAGATAGTTCTTGAAATCTCTCCACGAAGGAGGCAATTTTTCAATCATTGCAGCCACTTGAAATACTTCATTCACGACCATACCTTCAGCAATAAGGTCATGAGAAATAAGTTGAAACTCCTGAATTTGGGTTCCAACAGTTTTGCTGTCTATCATTTTATAATCTAGAAACTTGGCAACCACGAACTTCTTCAAGAATGCATCTTCAGTCTTGTACTTCTTATCAAGTGCGTCACATAATTTTTTCGAAGTATTCATCGCACTGTACACATTGTACAAGTCATCCTCTAAAGCGCTTAAGATATAGCCTTTGCAAAGAAAATTTGCCTGCTTCCATGCCTCAATAATCATGAATTTCTCGTTGTCCGGCATATCCGCAGAAGGCACTGGAGGTTCTTCACTAGTGAATTTCTGCATACCAAGTGTGGTAAGCCAGAAGAACACCCTTTGCTGCCATCCTTTAAAGTTGGCTCCGAAAAATTTCTCCGGTTTCTCTGCCGATGGAACAACAGTCCGGCTTGACGAGGCTATCGTCGTTGCCGCAACAGTCGCAGAAGAATTTTCGTTACCAATTTCCATTTCTCACTGTAAACAATAGAATAATTCAATTAATGGCAAAACCAGAACACTAAACAATATTGTTATTAACAAAAAAAATAGTATGTCTAATAAATAAAATCGAAGTTTTTTATATACTGTTTCACAGAAAACGATAAAGTTTTTATGTTCTTCAAATTGTTTTATGAATTTCAATACTCTGATGAAGTTTTTTATATCTTCAAATCAGAATAATAAAATTCAGAAGGAGTAGAAAATCACACAGGTTTTAATCTCCACAAATAAAATACAGAATATAATACAATAATTTTCTTAAGAATGTTATAAATCTGTATTGCTGTAATAAATAATTAAACTTTCTGAAATATATAAATAAAACAGAAAGTTAGTAATACTTGTTTAACGAAATAAATTCTGGAAAAACAGTATAGGAATAAATCGAGCCCACTGAATACACAGTGTGTCCTTAAGAAAATTATTTCCCTCAAGCACCCGAGGTGCTGGAATATATCCTCCCAGGATAGAACGATTTAACTCACCGGAGGGTTGGTACCAAAACGCCGGTGAACAGCGAGCCACTCGAAGGCTGTAAAAACATACTGGAATTTTTGTGCAGAAGAAAAAGATCAGAAAATTTCGTAAGGAAAGATTCTGGGATTCAAACTCTATTTATAGAGTTGCTGGCATTGTTTCTGAAAAGGTTTGCAACCTTTCAGAAACAACCATAACTGTTGGAACAGGGTTGTTTGAAATATTGCGAAAAAATAAATTTAAAATAATCCAAAAAGAAAACAGGCCTGACCGGACCGGGTCGCGGGTTATTCCGGATTGAATTTTTCGTTAATTATTTATTTAATTAATTAAATAATTGAAAGAAATTTTGTCCAAAAAGATTAATCAATCCGAAGCCGAAGCCGAGCCGAGCGAGCGACGACGACGACGACGCGAGGCTTGCCTTCTTCTTAACTCTTTAAAAGCTAAAAGAAGAGCAAATATATATATACCCATCAAAAGCCTTTTCTTCCTCCAATATGGGACAATGTCCCTTTGCCAAGGAGGGAAACTCAAATATTTTATTTTTCCTCCATTTCTCATTCACCCTCTTTAAGCTACACAAGCTTAAAATCATAACAATTAGTGTGAATTCGGAAAACTTGAGTGAGTTGTTTGTTGATGTTGTCATACAATATCAGCAACTGCGCTTTAATTCCAAACAAGTCGGGATTGGCTGTATGAATCTTCACTGCTCAAGCGCTTCATTTAGATGTGGCTTTGGTGTTCTTTGATTTCGAGGCTGTAGAATGAATTTTTCACAAATCTTATTGTCATAATCTGACCTCCATAATTGTCTGTATGATGGTTTATATTCTGCATCGAAAATTATGGGTTCAATTGAACTCATTCATATCTACAGTGGTACATTCGCTCTGGTCCCACAATCTCATTTTACCATTAGAAGGACACTTGTTTCATCTTGTTGCCTTTGTGGTTTGATTGGTCAATATAGTGAAAGAAATAAAATAGAGATAAGTAAGTGAATAAGAATAGTAATATTTGTAAAGAAAATCTTCGTTCATAAGCGACTGATTATTATGTTTCACATTTAGGTGGAAAATATTTTTGAAATTTTAAGGTAACCAAGTACTTAAAAATGCTTTCATTGAGGTAAACATGTAAAAAAAATCGTTCCATTTTGGAATACTAATCATCAAATGTTACCAAAAAAACTAAAATACAATTTGTCAGAAGTGGGATTTGAACCCACGCCCTCTCACGAGGACCAGAACTTGAGTCTGGCGCCTTAGACCACTCGGCCATCCTGACAAGCTATGAAAAATTTCTCCCAAGAATATATCTTAATGTATCCAATAGCAATCGGGAATTACACATATATTATAATGCTTGAATTATTCATGCGGGAATTAGTTATAAAGGAATTATTATGTAGTGATTAATAATGAGAAAATCATTGTACATGAATTATTAACTTTAAAAAGTAGTAAATTTTCGCATTGCAGCTCCGCATTTTCTTATTCCTCATTATATCTGTAATGTAAATATGTAATACTGCCAATTAAACACTGGATTAGTTATGAAAGAGCACAAATTTTGTAGCCCAAACAAGATGTCAAAATAAGAAACATCCATGCCCAAGCATCGCTCTCGAAAGAATATAGCGATCAAAGAGCTATGACTCAGTTAGTTCGCATATTACATTGCATTATCCGGAGGGGGCATGCAGTAAGAGCATAAGTGAGTGATAAGTATAGGAGGTGTGCTTGAAGGGCAGCGGTTCCAGATATCATCGCTAGATTGAGACTACTTTATACTACTTTCCTTATGCGGTCAACCAAATACTATATTAACTGATTTTATGCTAAATTTAATTATTTCAAACCCTCAACCAAACACCCCCTTAAGGTACTAAATTTCAAAACAAAATAGAACATTATTCCTATTTATCTTCATTTCTTTGAAATTATTCCTCGAATAAGGCAGCTAGGGATGGCAAAATGGTTAAAAAAAACAGTTAACCACCCATACTATCCACTAAAAAGTGGGTTGGATAATGAACTTTTTTAAAAACGGGTCAAATATTGATAAGAACCATATTATCCATTTAGAAAATGGATAACTAATGGGTTTAACTTTTCCATTTGTAAAACCTCAAATTGGGGGTTCCACAAGTTTGGAAGACTAAAAATTCTCCCAAAAGTGATCATATTTATGAAGTCATGGATAATATGGGTAACCATATTATCCACCTGTTAACCCATTTTTTATCCGTACTAAATATGGGTCGGGTCGGATAATTTATCCATTTTTCATTCCTTATTTTCGACCCGTCTCATATCCGACCCGGCCCGCATGTTTGCCATCCCTAAAGGCAGCTGATAAATTATCAAAGATTTAGTTCTGCAAATAACATAATGGTTTTCTTATTCATTTTAAAGGCTCTTACAAAAGGTTTGGATCTAGAAAACGCTTCGAAGTTCAACTTTAGTGTGGCAGTATTCTCTTTATAGTTGGGAATCATTTCGACATTTTTTTTTTTTTTTTTTGGTTTTTTTTTTTTTTTTTGGTCTTTCTATTCTGTTAATATAGTTCTCGTTCAAAATGTTAACAAGTCAAAAGATATATGCAAAGACTAGAAACTGCGCAATGTTTATTGATATTGACAATTGCCACTAAATTGAGACAACTGCGTGGAATACATAGGATGAGGCAAATACAACCCGCTTATTGCTATCAAGAAAAAGAAAAAAGTGGAGACAACGACAACAACAACAACTATATCTCAGTCCCAAAAAAGTTGGGATCGACGACATGAATCCTAACTTCTTTCATATCGGAGATGTAGGGCTAGCTAATTGGATGTGTGAAAGAAAACATAGCATTTGTAGACAAAAGAAGCAGAAATTTGATCATGTTGAGTCCTATAAACCTGCAAATATAGAAAGCAAACTTAAGTGCCTTAGTTTGAAAATAGTACCTCTCTATAACTGTCGTTTATCCTGACATTTTTGGCTGCTATAGTGAAATGTTGTTATAAAAAACATATAATATAACATAACATGAAAAATTAGTTCCAAAGAAAACTTGGCCGTTATAGTAAAGTGTTGTTATAGAGGATGACTGTTATAGAGAAGTTCGACTATAATTACTATTATCCACTATTTTATGGTCCAAGAAATGCAAATAGAGACAAAGAATAAGTAAAAGAACATTACCTTCTTATAGCTCATCTTTCATTGAATCTGTTTGTGCATGTTCTGATACTGTTAAATCAGATTTTGCAAAGTTTGAGGGGGCAGGGCTACCCCTATTAGTCTGGATAAATTCAATAACAGCCTCTTTTGTTCTATTCCCCTCGAATCGCGACAAACTACCAGCTGTAGATATCATGTATAATGTTGGGAATCCTTGAACTTCAAATCGTTCACGAGGTATATCATTTTCCGTTCCATCCTAAAGCAGATCACAGAAGAAGTAAGAAGATTAATCTAATAAAAAATGTGGAAAAAAAGAAGAAGAAACGAATAGAGAAGACAGACATGGGATCAAGAGATTCTTACAATCTTAGCAATTAGGACATGAGCGTCGTTTTCAAATGAGAGCGCGATTTCATCCAAGACCGGAGCAAATTCCTCACAGTATTTACAACCAAGTCGATAGAACTCTAGCAGTACTGCAAGAAAACAAGAACAAAATGATAGGCTGCAGTAAAATCCCTGCACTCACTCACTAATGCTCCCCTTCGATCCCTCGAAAAAATAAATAATACTCGTTCCGACCCAATTTATGTGACAGTCTTTCCTTTTAAGCCAGTCTAAAAAAGAATAACACTTTTTTATATTTAGTAACAATTTAATTTCAAAATTCTCAATTTACCCTTAATAAAATTATTTATACCCACACAAATATACTATGTTGCTCAGACTCTTCGAAAATATAGTCAGGTGCGTGTCGGATCTTCCAAAAATAGTGTATTTTTGAAGGATCCGACGCGAGTGTGACAGCATTTTGGAGAGTCATGCAACATAGCAAATATCTATGGCTCATTTTGGACTACAAGTTTCAAAAGTCTTCCTTTTTTTCCTTAAACGTCGTGTCCAGTCAAGATAGAAATTATAACTGAGTCCGACATATAACTACTTTTGCATTTATTGTTCAAAGAATGATGCACTAGTTGATACGAACCATCTTTCCCCGAGTTGAAAACCATATCCTCTAGAGTCTCCGCAACCACCACCTTGACAGGTTCGTTATTGACTTCCGGAATAGGCTGCGACTTCAAGTATGGTTTCAACTTGCCATCCTGTAGTCATACAAGAAAGGATTGAAACAACCTTGGAGAAAGAAAAAAAAAAGATTTGAAAGACAAATAAGTCCTCACATTCGTGCGTAGAAACGAGTAAGATACTTGAAGTTTGATCGCGTTAGCAACAGAAATACAAGGAAAACATAGAATCAGGTCCAAGTAATTACCTTAAAATCCTTCAACCAAGCTGCAAGGCTATCAGGTTGTACGTGTCGCTCAACGTATTTTGTGCCGTCCATGGCAAGTACGAAAATCAAAGGCACTTGATCAGTGTTCAATCCAAAATACTGCAATCGAACAACAAATATGCATCTCAGTTTTCTCTCCCATTAGGAAATATTATAAAGTATTCTATGCAGATTGGATTGAAAGGAGGAGGAAAATGACCTCAAGGGCTCTTTTACCGGTCTCAGCATCTCCTAAGAGGAAGTTCGCTTCCTTTCCTTTGTAACTGGCGGCAAGATCATAGTATTTGGACTTGAAAAGATCAAGATCCGTAGTGAAGTTCAAAAATAGAAATACCTACAAATTCCAAACATTGATTGAAAATCTCCCGAGGATATTCTTATACACACTTTTTTTTTTACTGTCTTTCAATGAATAGAAGGGGAGCCTTGGCGTAACTGGTAAAGTTATTGCCGTGTGACCAGGAGATCACGGGCTCGAGCCGTGGAAACAGCCTCTCGCAGAAATGCAGGGTAAGGCTGCGTACAATAGACCTTTATGGTCCAGCCCTTCCTCGGATCTCTCGCATAGCGGGAGCTAAGTGCACTGTGCTGCCCTTTTTTTTTGTCTTTCAATGAATAATATTTAGGAAGCTGAGTACCTTATCCCCGGGACTATGCAAAAAGTGGTTAACAAATGCCTGGTTTTCTGGCTTGTCATCAAGAATAGCCATGATCGGAACGCTAGTTTCTTCAATGAAATTCTGCATCGCCTCAACTTGAAAATCCTGGGATAATATTATGTGTATATACAACTACACTGTTAGTGAAACCGTTCAAAGCTACACAACCAAAAAGGAAGAGAGTTCTGTCAAATTGATATATACAATCAAACACAAGAAATCACAATACCTCGAAATCAGCATAGAGTTCATCAAATGGCTTAAATAGACGAATAGTTGGCTTATCAACCGGTCCACCGTGAGGGAGGAATTTAGCATCCAGTGTGTGAACAAAGTCGTAATCTACTCGTAAATCTTCAGCTAAAGCTGTGAAGTTCTTTATCTTCTCTAAACAGAGTTCTGGAAATATGCCAACCTAAAATAACAACATGCTATTTTTTTATCCACAAGCTAGTAATGAGGCAATTGAAATACATTATATAAAGAGACCTGAAAACCTGTGTCAAAAAATGCCAATACTTACAACAACAATCTTTTTCTCATCAATAAGGCTTGCGGCATCTTCCTTTGATTTGATTTCAAGAGATGCAGGGCCGGCATGTTTTTTCAAATATGAGATTATACCGTCTGTCTCACGAGTACCTTTATAATCATGAACTGTCTTGCCACCATTCCGGAATATCTTAATGCTCGGAACACCATTATGTGTGTAATTTCTTGCAAGTTCTGCATTTTCTGGAATTGTTGTATCCATTTTAGCAAGAATAACTGGAGGATCATGACTACTCAACACTGAAGCTGCTTCTTCGTACTGCCACGATAGAAAAAATAGTTACAAAATAACAAAAACAATATGTTACTCCTTCTGTCTCAATTTATGTGGTACTAGTCGGATTTTGACAGTTAAACTTCTTAATTTGACCGTGTATTCAGATTTGACCGTGTATTCAGACAAAGAATTTTTAAGTTTTTTAAAAATAAAATTTTACTTATTTGGAAACTACAAAAATAATAGTATAAGTCATAGTAATTAAAAGAGGCAGCTCAGTGCACAAGGCATCCCGCGTTCACACAGGGTCCGGGGAAGGGCCGCACCCCAAGAGGTGTGATGTAGACAACCTACCCTAATGCAAGACATATCATAGTAATTAACAATTCAAAATATTTAAAAGACATGAAAAAATCACAATTCACGGAAAAACTCGTTTGACTCTAAAAATCCAAACAGTGCCACATAAATTGGGATGGAGAGAGTACGTAGCAAATATTGATAAAGCCAAATAAGTCATTCTAAATAGCAAGGAAAATATCAAATTAAATTAGTACCTTAGGGGTAAGTTGCTGGCAATATCCACACCTATTACAGAGAAGACAGAGACAATTAGGTCTAAATTTTTAATAAGAGTGTATATTCACAAGATAGCTATTCAACTACTGAAATCTAAACTTTCCTTATTCATTCTTCTAGTGTTTGACTCAAAGTCATAATCTTTGAATGTAAGATCCATCTATAGGAGATCAAATTGAAAATTAAAGGACAACATTTTTAGCATCTGTTTTTAAGATAAAAGACTTTTAGGATTGCAAAATCTTCATTAATGCAGCTATTAGGATGTCCATTTGATATAACTACATGCCTAATACTACCTATATCCTATAGATGATCTACCTGTTTGATTTCCAAATAGTCAAACAAAATGATCCTTGTAGTACATGTACCGGATAACTCTGTCCACCAAAAGTTAGGCAAATGAGACCGGATAACCCTGCCCACCAAAAGTTAGGCAAATGAGACCGGATAACCCTTCCCACCAAAAGTTAGGCAAATGAGAAAAATACACCTAGTATTTTTGGCCTTCCCTGAGCTTTGAACATGAGACCTCACGGTTCTCCTCTCACTTTATTTACCACTAGGTCAACACACACTTGGGTGTGGTACTAGTAGTATTCTTGTACAGTATTTAAAATATTTATAGGTAAAACAGATGAGTAAATCTAAATTGATTTTGACTCCAAAATTAGTCAAAAGTCAAATGGGGCTGTGGTATGTGGACTCAGAGTGAAAAGTGTGTGTGTGTGTGTGTGTGTGTGTGTGTGTGTGTGTGTGTGTTTGTGGGAGTGAACTACTTCAATAACTATCCCAGTCTATTAATGAACTTTGACCAACTTACAGAGGCAAGGCGAAGGCAGGATTTGAACTTTATGTGTTTCGTTCAGAATCGTAACCGCAGTCTAATTTACTAGGTTCAGACTCTATTTTTTGCTATTTAGTTGAATTTTTAATACATACACAGTGGGTTCGGATCAAACCGTAGATTCTTCATTGGCTCCGCCCCTGTGGCAACCTGACCATAATCAATTTTCTTATATCTGATTATACAAATCAAGAAACTAACACTGTTCAAAGTCAAAGAACAAAAGAAAGAAAGAAAAATTACCATGGGGCATAGAACTCAACAACAATCATTTTGTGTCGAGAAATAATATCAGAATAATTTGTATGGTCCAAAGTCCAAACAAACTCCTGCTCCTCTGCCACTACCTTTTGTCCTTCATTTTCTGCTGAATCAGCAGAAACAGCTGCAACAGTGGCTAGTACTGCAAAAATGGCTAAAAGGGTACTGAAAACTTTACAACTATTAGCCATTCTTGATCACAAAAATGTATCTATCACTGTACTGTCTATTTTCACTATTAATACTCTGTATTATTGGTAGGAAAAATAGTAATTCAAGATGGGACAATTTAGCTTATCTTTACAGCACTATATATTTGATATTATATATAGTGGGAGAAGAAAAGTGCCACGTCAATGTTGATGCTGATGTGTAAGAAAATGATTGGACATAATATGTGTCTGAATAGGCGTGAATGGTGTCAAAAAAATTATAAATGTTGGTTGACAGACTAAAGTATAACTTAAAATATTATAACAAGTTATATATATTTTCAGTGTAAGCAAAGGCGTAACCATGTGTTATTTTAGAAGGATCATCGGATCCCGTAAGTTTCGACAAATATCTTGTATATGATTATGTATATATTTTGAAAATGATTAATTTAAAGCACTTGATATCCTAAACACTAAAAGTCTTTTAAGGGAGTAGAATATTGTGCAGATATCGCGTAAAATTCTTGGGTCCGCCTCTGAATAAGTTACACACTGACAACGTGAATATGTATAGGCGTGAAAGATCACTAACAGTGTAAAAGAGATATACCAATGTGAGTTGGATCACTTAGCCATACTTCCTAACTAAAAAAACAAGCACCGTAAAAATATAACTCTTATTTTAGAAGGATCATCGGATCCCGTAAGTTTCGACAAATATCTTGTATATGATTATGTATATATTTTGAAAATGATTAATTTAAAGCACTTGATATCCTAAACACTAAAAGTCTTTTAAGGGAGTAGAATATTGTGCAGATATCGCGTAAAATTCTTGGGTCCGCCTCTGAATAAGTTACACACTGACAACGTGAATATGTATAGGCGTGAAAGATCACTAACAGTGTAAAAGAGATATACCAATGTGAGTTGGATCACTTAGCCATACTTCCTAACTAAAAAAACAAGCACCGTAAAAATACATGCGCTCAACCAAAGAAAGATAATAGAGAGTTGATCGAAATGTGCACTAAAACTTTTTGAGATATCCCCTCTAAATAACTGGTATGGGTATCGAAATTGTGAGTATCAACATGTGGGTTCCAAATTCAAATGGCAGTATCAAACTCTTTAGTTATTGTTCTTGAGAAATGATCCGGTCTGCCTATTCCAGTTTATACACATCGATAATATGAAAAAAAGATTTAAGAGGTTTATAATTTTGAAAACAACAGATAAAAGTAACTTGATTGTGTAATTTTTTTTTAAAATTAACTAAATTTAACGTTTTTTGGTGGAAAAGATAATTATATTAATATTAATATAATAGTAGAAGCTAGTACTACTAATTATAACTTGTTTCTTCTGAATTGTAGAGAAAAGAAAAAGGGCAAATAACTTAAAACAACTTGGAGAGCAAAACTCGAGATTCACGATACATATTGATAATACATTTTTGGTATTAAGCAAATAATTGAAAGATTCTTTTGACTTCGAAAAAAACTCGAGATTCACGATACATGTTGATATAATTTTTTTTTTTTTTACTTACTAAACAAATAAGTGAAGGTTCTTTGAACTTTGAAAATATTTAATTTAATTGAAGTACTGGTTACGTCTTAATTTTAGTAGTGCTCATAAATAAATGGCGGAACAGTCACATAAATGCTCGTACTTGTACCGATTTGTTATTTCAAAAATACAAATAACAAATCGAAAACATGCTCAAAAACACTATTTTAACTATTGAAAATACTTGATCGAATAAACTCATTTACTCCGATATGAATGAAGAGACAACTTTAACACTTTCATGTAGCTAAAATATTGGAACCAAATTAAAAAAAATTTAAATTAATAAAAAAAGACGTAGAGGAGAAATTGGATTGAGAGAATAAAAGTGAATCTCATAGTAGTAGACAAAATAACGTTCAAAATTTTCCTTTTAAAGAGAGTAGTTATTATTTTGGATTTTTGGTCTAGATCCAAATGAAAAGGAAAAAGTTCCGTTTTAGATAATAGTATAATGTTTATATAACTGACAATCATGTTAAAATATGATTAAAAGATGTAAAAATAGTATAAAGATACTATATACAAAATTCAAAGTGATATTTTGGCAATTGAATAGAACTCGAGTCGCTACGAGAAGATTATCCAAGGAACGACTCCAAAGATTCCTCTTATAAAAGATTTACACAAATTAATTATGTGAGGATTATAATGTAGGGATTATTTATGTGAAAATAATAATAATGCAGTGACTAATAATAAAGAGATTGTTGTACAACTTACTTTGAAAATGCACTCTTATTTTAAGGAAATTTTACCTCATACAGTAAAGATATACATCATATTTATTATAAACCAAAATTATTTTAAATTATTATTTTTTTACAGCTACCTTTTATATTTTATAGCAAAATACGCTATTTATGTTTTCTTCTCTCTTTGTTTCAATTAACACACAATTTTCTCTCCGAATTTTTCTTCTTTCTCTCCCTCTTTCTTCTCTCTCTCTTCGAGCACCTCAAGATACACGCCCTAGTATTGATGGCGGACGAGACATTAAAATATCTCTCTCTCTTCGAGCAACTCAAGATACACGCCTTAGTATTGATGGCAAACGAGACATTAGAATAGAGTAGAAGGCAGCCAGGAAACAGAAAAGAGTGAATTTTAGGAGCAGTGTGATGAACTCTTATCATAAATTTGTTGTACGAATCCGACGAACTTTCTTCTCTTCTTGGCCGAAAAATGCCATATCCGACGAACTTTCTTCTCTTATTTGCTATTTAGTTATATACAATGACACAAATACATTGTATGTTGTACAAATTCATCCAAACACATTGTATTTTTGTATAAATATATTTTTTTGCCTGTATTTATGTATTTCGAAGGTCTATAGTTTTTTAATACAACTTAATACACATGTATTTATGCATACTGTACGTACAATATGCATGAATACATGATATAAATATTAAAATAGAACAGTATATAAACAGTGAATACATTTAATTTTAAAATATAATAAAATATACTGAATACAAATAAAAATGTAATCAATACAACCAATGAAATATACTGAATACAGCAGTAATAACATATAATAGAAATAATTAAAATACTGTTAATATAAATACATTTGAATACACTGAATATAAAATAGCGAATATAGTAAATACAAACGTTGAATCTAATGAATGCAACAGTAAAAAAAATATCGAACCACACTAAATACAAAAGTTAAATACATGAACAATTATATATGACTGAAAAATTATTCTAATTAATTGGGTTGATAATGAGGCATGTTAGAATTGATTTTGTTGAGTTATATTAGGAGTGCATCATGCTAATTGATATTATTCCGTTATTAGGCATGTCACGACCCAAACCGATGGGTCACGACGGGCACCCGGTACCTTACTCAACCGAATACCAACATAACTTATATTTCATATAATACTATCATAGGTAAATGAGCCTGAGAGGCTGTCATGAGATAAGTAGAATAAAACCTGAGACAATACTCAATATAGGGTGACCCAACCTGATATACTGACTTATACATATGACGTACTGGCCTATAAGGCCATACCAGTATCCGTATACATGACATCTGTCTACAAGCCTCTAAGAGTACATAAATATCATAAAGGTCGGGACAGAGCTCCGCCATACCAAATAATACATATTCAAATCATACTGACCAAATAGGCAACTCCGGAGCAAGTGGAGTGCACAATAACCTTCTGCTGAGCTGATAGCCTACTAAGAGAACTCTCAACCTGTCTATCGGGACCTGCGGGCATGAAACGCAGCGTCCCCAAGCAAAAGGGACGTTAGTACAAATAAAGTACCGAGTATGTAAGGCATGATAGTAGTATATAAAAGACCTAAAAGAAACATGGAGTAAAGAACTCAACCTGTAATTTTGAATAGCTCTGTGAATCATGAAAATTTATAATGTCATGCATGTGCGTATAAATGTCATACCATGCATAGGTATATGCGTACATAACATCATCAAGCCTCTGAGGGCATCCCATCATATCATCTCAGCCACTGTGGGTAAAATCATCAATGTATACCAGCTGATCAGGTGGTGGTGCGTATATAACGCCTTAACCTTTTTTCATATCCCATATACATATAATATACGCGTATATAACGCCTTCTGGTCATGGGTCAATGTATATGTATAAATGCATAAAATGCATAAGAAATACGTTAATAAGATTTCTCGAATATCATAAAATCAATATGCCTTCCAGACAAACTTTATCAAATCCGTATTTTTAGGAGACCCATGAATAGAGTATATAATAATAATAATTCACATAGGGAATCAAGAATATAGATACCCCTAGTATTTCTATGAATAGAGTCATTTATGAAAGTTGTGTATTTTGCTCGTTTTGTTTGTATCATTTGGATCATGCCAAAAAGAAAGAAGGGATAACCTTAACATACCTTAACTCCGTTGAGTCCTTAATACCTTCCAAGAAATTCTTCAAACAACTCAACCCAATCTACCACATCATAAGGAGATTCAAAATCAGTGCTGAGTAAAGGCTAAGTTCTCAACTTAAACTAGTAGCTCGTTTACGTAAATTTGGGCAGCATCTCCCCTGTAACTAGGCCCTCCTCCAATATCATATACCAACAACAAGAAGAATACAACAATAACAAAATGTAAGAATCATTTTATAACCTTATATCTATCACAATATACCACAAAACAGCCCACACGCCCTAATCACTTCATACATAAAACGACAACCAAAGTAGTGTCAAACAACTTAAAAGAATATAACGATGAATGACCAGCCCACCATTCCGTCATTATGTGGTGTTTCTCCACACCATTTATCCTCCAAAATTTCATTAAATAGTAGAAAAATATACAGCCCAAAGGTAACACGAAACAGCCCACAAAACAGTCCACTACAAGTCAAATAACTCGAACTCACGGCTTTCGATCACCGTCCCGTGAGTTCTAACTATTAGGATACGAATTTATCAACATTCCTTGATATTTAAACACTTAAATACAGAAAGTATATGTTTTCTTAACTATGAAATACTTTCCAAAACTCAAACTACAAAGAAAAAA